CCTGTTTGCACTCCACTTTTAGTCTTACAGACTATTTTAATCATTTATTCTGTTAATATTAATCTATAATCTGTAAGTCTGTAAGTCTGACTGTATAAAACTCCTAACTACTCACCCAGGAAAACAGTTGACTAAGGCCAACCAAAATATGCAGCATTACTTCAGTAATCAGCTCATCAAAAACTTCAAAGACCAAGTAACTTTTATTTATTTTTCTAATCACTAGATACGCTTTTCATTCTTATTTAAAATGCCCAATATTTTTATCTGATTGGTCTAAAAGTTGTTGTTGCTATTACTGATTTGTTCTGATTGGCTTTCTGGTTGTTTATTGGTTTGTATTTTATTTGTGGACAGTTGAATTTCAAACAAACATTCCTACAGGATATCTTAAGTATGAATTTTAATTACTCTTATTTTACTCTTTTTAATTGCCATGCCAAAGTTTGCTTAGAAGTTACATGATATTTGGATGGGTGGGGGATCTTATTTTCACTTAGGAATTATTGAGAATGCATGGTCCTTTTAAAAACAACTTTTGACTACCTTGTACTATATCTAGTGATAGAAGGAAAATCACACTGGACTCGTATTACAGTATGTTGCCTTGACTACAAATCTAGTAGACTTTAGTCAAAGTCAAACTTTTCAGAACTTTTTCTTATCACTTATGAAATTCAGGATCGATTTCCTCCATTATTTCCACGTTATACGCTAGTGTTAATAGACTATCACTTTGTTTAAATTGATTGAAAGCTTGCTTCTTTCCCTTGATAGTCATATATTTGCATTTTGAGAGTAAAACAAAAATTGACGTTTTTATAAACTGGCATGTTTTTGATTTTTGAAACAAAAAATTTAGAACTCACTTTTAAATTATGATATAAAATGACAAACCGGTGGATGTTTCACGTTAAGATATGAAGGATCTGTGTTTACCTACAGATTTTTTATATAAAAGTCACCAAACTTCAAAACCTTACAACATGGTCAGTTATTGAGTGGTTGCATCATTTAACTGGACAGATGCTGAGTGTGAAGGACACACCTATTTGATATGTGGTCTACAAATGAATTTCTTTGGGAAGCAGGTACCATCACCCTTGCAGACAATGCTTTGTCCAGAATCTTACAATTATCATCTGTGCAGTTGGGGCTCTTAGCACTTAATAGCTTATATATAAAGAAACGTGTCCCTCGTCCCCTTCAACACTCCTCAAAAAAATCAAGTTATCAAGTTTGGGGTAATATTTGGATGTTTTCCACCAATCTCCTGAGAAGTTCAACCTAACCTGTTGGCCTGTATATTCAGCAGATAAATGTTTTAAATGAGAGAAAAGAGAAGAAAGTGATTAAGATTGTTCTTTTTCTTGCACAGCTAGTTTCTCAGTCTCTTCACTATGTGGTACCCTTTTCAAGCCCCTCCTCCAGCTTGTGAGGCCAGTGTGTAACTTAGAGCTGAGAGCCACGGGTGGGGGCAGGGAAATCTCCTGAGGTGCTGCTTACTAATGTAATTCCATAAATCAGCTAATAGGAGCGAAACCAGATCTGTGTGGTCTCTAATGCTGTCCCACAGAGATCAATCATGTCACCTGAACAATGTTCAGGGACTAAGAGGCTGGAGTTGCCCATGGGATGATTCTATCCCTTGAGCCATATCGGGTTGAGGTATTTTAAAAAGTTAGATTTTCATATCAGAAATGTAACTAACTGCGAACACGAAAACTGAAGGATTGATTACCTTTGCACGAGACAAAGTGCGATTATGTAACTAATTATCATAATGCATAATCACATGTTTATTAAAGTCTCTCCACTTAACATTGATCATTTAGGATGCAAGTTTTTAAGGTAAGTTTTGTTGCAAAAAGGGCACATGGTATTTGTAATAACGGCTTTGAATAACTAGTGAGGTTTTTTTAAATACGTAATTGACTAAATGAACAGTGATACATGCAAATACACAGTGCACAGTATCACAGAAAAACTAAATTTGTTTTGTGTGCATTGTTATCTTATGGAATATTATCAAGGGGGTGATTTTATAAACATATTTCCAATGCATTAAGATGCTCTTAACATGAGATGAGGCAGGAAAATGTGAAAATAAGAAAGGTTGTTAAAAAAAAATGTGGGCAAGAATCCCAACACATCCATGTGAATCTGTCTTAATTTCAGTTTACTCACCCTGAAAATCTGATTAAACCTTCAGTCTTTGGGATGAGAATAAGTCACAGGAGAGAAAGACTCATGAGGTTTGAAATGATAAATAAGAATATAACTAATGATTATGATTCAAATATTAACTGATGCCCATAATTTAAAGCTAACAAATATGAGCTACTGAACTTAAACCTGAAGTCCACAGGTAATATCCATAATGAATCCCCAAATTGTTATTCTCAGCCAGGGAGTCTGTCCAATCTCTAAAACATCTCCACAGATGATGATAACTTACAGGAACCAAATTAGAGAGGGAAGCAGGTCAGCAGGGGACTTTTCAGCGACCAGCAAACACTGCTCCAGCTTTGGTTCAGTCCTGTAAACCCTGTCACTCTGACGCGCATCCAGCTGGTTTCTACAACCGTAACTGTGTGGTTACCCATGTGCTTCAGGCGACCATTGCCTTTTTAAAACAACCTAGGTAGAACCGTAGCCAATTAAAAAACAAAACAAAACAACCCCTCCCCCAAACGTTTTCTTTCTGCCAAAGAGCATTCCACTAACAATCTTAGCCTTGAACCCTGACTTTCTTGTAGGAAGGGGCATGTAGTTAGGAAAACACCTTCAGAGGGGTCTATGAAGACGGACATTTTCTGAACATCAACAGAACTTTTGTGCACGTGGATTGAAAAGAAAAGGTAGTACTATGGGATCATCTGTGATCAAAATGTCTAAGGAATTTAAGCCTCACAACAAGTCTGTGGGAAAACTAACCAAATGAGAAAAAAATGGAAATTTATGAAATTTGTCTAGACTGATAAATCAGCATAGAAACTTGTGCAGGAAACCTATGGATACCCACATTAAGCACCTTCTGAGTGGTTATCTACTAAGTACATCAGAATTATTCAGTGGTCCTACCCACTACATACTATACAAATCAGGATGCAGGCTGTGCCATGGGTCTAGCTGAAGGTGTGGCCTACTCGCAACATGACATCTATTATGCTAAATACTATAGTTAATGAGGAAAAATAAAGCCAACTTATCAACTGGGTAGGAACAGGAAGTTTTAGCATGGACTGAATTGTAATTCCCCGCAGGCCTTAGAGATCTAGAGGTAAGTTACAATAAATTAATCCAGAAAAACACAATTCAAAAACTAGTTTTTGCCACTTAAGAAAACACAGAGCCCTGCATTTTTATAACTGCTATTATTTTTGTTTAAGCTGAATTGCCAAAGGAAATGTAACAAGCCACTCTGGTGTAAAGTCAAACTCTTGAAAAAGAGACGGGTTCTCTTACAAAGAGGAATAAATGCAATATTTTGATGGAACTGATCACAATCAATAATGATAGCAATACAACACTGTGTTTTTGTGGAATCCCAAAGTGCCATTTGCTTTGTATATTAATAAAACTTTTAAAAAATCTATATCTTATTTGTGTTCAAACCTGCAACAAAATTCTTTAACTTTTCTCTTTTAACCTTTTAAAGAGCTTCTCCCTCATGGAGAAAACTCCTTTATGCAGTGCTCACAGTTTTTAAAAAGAATGTGCAAGTGCCCCTCTGATGATAACTTGTCAGAGCCAGCCTCACTCTATAATCTGACCCACAGAATATTCCCAAATGCTAAATCCACTATCTACATTCTCAAGAATATATATGAAGATTCGGCCATCTACTCTGTAAATTTTCTCAAGGTACTAAATATGATTACTTGTCCATATTTCTTTGCTAAACATCCCACTAAAACCATTTACCTATAATTGTACATTTATCCCTTTTTGTTTTGATCAAGTTACCATATGAAATTTCCACCAAACACATCACTCTTTGTATTTAACATAATTAAAAGCCTAATTTAACAATTAGTTTAGTAGTAATTAGTACATTGCCTGTTTTAAGGACATGTAGGAGAAAGAAACTATTATTGACCATCTAGGGTATCAATCAAAACTGCGCTTGGTGTATAGAACAATTTTGTGACCACAAAAAATGGTTACGTTGTCAAATGCAGAGCCCAAAGGAAATATACTTTGGCAACCAAACGTTTTTGGAATCATTTGTTTCTAAAACTATGTAAAACAACTCTTAAATCGAATTACATCACCTGCCCGAAATGAACCAACTTTGTCCCTTTATTCTAAGACACATCCCCTTAAAAACTGCAGGTGGTGTTCAGCTTTCCATATTATTTCTGCTTTCCCAAAAAACACCAGATATGCAGAAAATGGAAAATTTAAACGTTTCTATCACGGTGAAGAGAAAAACTATTCTAGAAGGGGATAGAACACCCTTTTGAAACCATGTATTTCAGCTTCAAGGATTTGTCTGATTGTGTGTGTTTTAATGGAACCATGGGCTTGTGTGCCGCAAATTGTGTCCTCACTATTATAAATGGGCCACTAAGAAGTCTCCCCAGGCCAATGAAAGTATATAAAATGCGATGTGTCCAATCCTTTGGGCAGAGATGCTCTGAAAACTAATGCTAAGAGGGAGGGGGCATTTGAAACCGCCAAGGGGGCATTTTTGACCACACTGAATGTGAAACTTCCGAATATTTAAATCAATTACATTCATTTACCACCACAGACGGGGGGGGGGGCGCACCCCCATCTGGAGAGGCCAGTCCCACGCGAAGTGCAGCTGGGGAGAGTGGCGGTGGCGAGGCCGTGCCCTCGCCACCACCTGCAACCGTATCTCACAACCTGAATGAAGCTTCAGGAAAGGGGTACTGCGACTTCAAGCCAGACAAGAAGCCCTGAAGGGGAGAAGAGAGGGGAGTGAGGAGGGAAGGGGGGAGACTGGGAAACAAGAAATCATCTCCTCTGACCTCTAGTGAAGTGCCAGGTTTTTTCTTTAGCTCTTCACATTTTCTAAATTTGCAGATCTGGTGTCCCGTTTTGCGGTTCCTGCAACTGCTGCAGACGCCACAGTTGATGAGCCTCTTGCAGGGCACGCAGACCCCACACCTTTTCCTCTTCTTCTTGGCCGGGTTGGCTCCGCTGGCTCCCCCTGAGGAGGACGAGGAGGAGGAGGAATGATTCTGCGGGCAGTCTGCCAGATTGGCAATTTGAAACGCACTGTCTGTGACGGCTGCTGAGGCTGCTGCGGGGGAGTGAAGGGCTGTCATGACGATGACCCCTGGAGGTAATGAGATGCCCCCTAAAGCCGGGATAGCGGAAAAAGTCCCCACGCGCTCGGGGAGATTCATTATCTCTGCTTCAGCAGCGCCGCATTTGAGCTTGTTCATGCATTCCCCCGCCAAAGGTCTGCAGTGTTCAGGGGATAAGGTGGAGAGGAAATTAGTATTTGCCATTTGCAACGACGGCTCTGGCGGGCAGCCAGCTTTCCCCAGCCGCTGGGAGTCGTTTCGGTGGTGCATGCTGGTCCTGCCGCCGCCGCCGCCGCCGCCGCCGCCGCCGCCGCCACCGCCGCCGCCGCCGCCGCCGCCGGCGGGGAGGATTGCCGAGGAGGAGGCGGCGGAGGAGGCGGCGGTGGAGGAGGATTTCCTGCCGCCCCCGCCGCCCCCGCCGCCGCCCCCGCCGCCCCCGCCGCCGCCCCCGCCGCCGCCCCCGCCCCCGCCGCTGCCCCAGAGCATGGCGGTGGCGGCGGCGGCGGTGGCCGCGTTGTCGCAGTTCCAGGGGGACATGCCGATGCGCGCGGCGGCCGCGGCGGCGGCGGCGCTGCTGGGGAAGATGGGGGTGGTGATGCGCGCGATCTTGGCCGCCTGCGGGAAGGCGCCCCCATTGGTCTTGTAGAAGGAGGTGGCAAAGGAGCGGTAGCGCTCCATCTCCGAGTTGTAATCCACAAGGCTGTTCAGGGCCCCCTCGGGCAGGTGGCTCTCCTTGGGCAAGCCCGGGGCCTCCGGGCTCGGCCCGGGCTCCACGCAGACATTGGTGTTCATGGTGCAGGGGGGGAAGAAGGGGTGCAGGGTGGAAGTGGGGACCGCCTGGTCCGACACCTGGGTGGGAAAGGGGGGAAGGTGGGGGGGAGGGAAGGGGGTGATGGTGGTGTCGGGGTGGGGGCCGAGGCGGGAAGGGAAAGTGGGTCCGGATGGGGAGAGCAAGGTGAGGACTGCTTTATTCCTCTCTGGGGCGCATTTCCACAGACGGTGAATTCCCAGGCAGCGTCTTCCTTAGCATTATCCTCCAACTGTTACAACTAAAATAAAGAAAGTCATTCCAACGAGCTGCACGAGGAAAAGGATTAAAAATAAATAAACAGCCTCCCTCACCACCCCACCGCAGACACCGAGAGCTCCCGCATTCCTCGTCAGGTCGTTTGCATGACAATCGTCAAGAGACGTGACCCCCCCATTCCCGCCCCCCCCCCACACGCTCCCAACCCACTCCCTCCCACCCCACAGCACACCGCAGCTCCTCCCCCCTATTCTCATAACCCTCCAGAGAAAATGTATTAATAGCCAGGATACCCAGGGAAAGAGGAAAGACGGGGGTGACAAATGCCGAGGGAAAAGGGCAATTGGAGTGCTAAAGACATGCAAATCAGGGGTGGGAGGGCGATACTACCTATAAGCAGAGGGCATTTAAACATTATGAAATGTGTGAACAAGTGCTGCCTGGGCATGCAAATGCTGTAAAGTAGAAAACAGCAATGGCCCTATGAGGAAAATGAACAGGAAATTAGCAAATGAAGTACTGAGAAAGTCTACAATACATCCGAGTATAAACTGTAAGCAAACACAATACAACTGAGAGCTAAGAGACTGCCCACATACAATCTGAACTAAAGAGGCAGGGAAAAAAGAACTACCAGCTGCCACAGTGTCCTTCTGTGTCTGCGGTCATTAGTTTGAATCCCAGCACAGCTGGCTCTGTTAGGGTCTTAATTCAATGGACCAAGGACAGGTCTCAATTGTACAAGCCATTTGGTGGTGGGGCTTGGTGGGGGTAAGAGGGTGGTGTTCTACTTGTTTAAAAGAAAGAAAGAAAGAAAAGAAAGATGGACTACATACAGATTTTTAAAAATAATACAAACAATGTCACAGGTTTTAAATGAAGTGCCTGCAGTCTCTGCAAGAATATTCCCAATAATTCCTAATGGAGACTCCTGTCTCTTCCCAAGACAAGAGGAAAGCATGGGACTTTTTTATTTTATTTTTTTTAAGAATCTCTCATACTCACTGCTTTTTACATTGAGTAAAAGATGGGGGGAGGAAGGGAGGTCCCTTAAGGTGTTGTTTACCTGAAGAAATAACCTTTAAAAAGATTTTTTTCTTTTGCTCTTTTTAAAAGGAAAGTTTAATGTTAACTGGATATTTGCATTCATCTCTTTGCTTACAGGCCATTATTATGCTTTAGGAAGAGATATTTTAGTTGTTTATCACAGAGGAAGAGGTACATCTCAGCCCTTTAAGAAGTAGTGCAAAGACATAAAGTGTATATTAACCTAAAAAACCCAGTTTCTTTGTTTCCAGATTGGGGGGGGGGCAGAATATCTTTTGGTGACATCTTTTGAAGCCCACATACTGGTCTGGAATGTGGAGTTCAAGGAATTCTACATGGGGGCCCAGTAGTCTCAGTCTCAAGCATTCAGTTCAAAATGGATATCAATTATAGTAATTATGGTTATAATTAGATTAATGAACCATTTATGCCCAAACTCCAAGTGCAAAAACTTCAAGACCTGCTGATGAGGTGCCCTAAAAAGAGGGGTTTACGTAAACAAATCCCTATTAGGCAAAGTAAATCAAGATAAGGAACCTCACCCCAGGCTGGATTAGAAGCTAGCAGGCATCTTTCAATCACAGCAAAAGCCCCTAATCACTCAGGAACCACCTCTGTGGTTTCACATTAGGGAAAACTGCTCCCTTCAGAGGTCTGATGGCAATACAAAGGGTGCCCCCCAAATGCTCCTGGCTAAATATTCTTGATGCTTGGAAGGGGGTAGGGGAAGACACAGCAAGATGATGCATATAGCTTCAGTTTCTGCGAATCACATTGTAACTGCAAGACCATAATAACTGCTACTCAGTAAAAAACTAGTTATGCCAACCATGCATTAGCTATCACATTGAGTGGAGGGGAAAAATTCAGTATTCTAGTCTTCTGACCTTGTTCCAGATAAAGAAATAATTTAATGTCCCTTTTCCAGAGTATTGGAGGGCTGTTTCCAAACACAAGCTTTCCTTGCTTTTCCTATTGCCATCGCCTCCCCCTCCCTCCCTCAAGGTTTAATGCCACCAGAAACTGTAGAAAATGATTGTGCCCAGTATCCAGGTCATTATTGTTTAATCAATGCATCTCTGGAGCATGAAAAAGGTACCTAAGGCAAAGCTATTGTTTGGATTTTCTTTAAAAAACAAAATAAAACACACACAAATAACTATAGTCCTATTCCAAAGCTAAATTAGACAACCACACTTCATGATCCTGTTTTGCCTTTAAACAATGTGACTGTACATGCCTAATATTGTATGTCTGGTCTACCAGAGACATAGAGATCAAAGGTCATATTTAACATTCAGGAGGAGGGGCGGGTGCAGATTAATTAATAAATTAATACAGCGACGCCTTTTATTGCTGGACTCCAGCATTAATAATCTACTTTTACAATCCCAACGGACAGCAAACATTTAAGAGAAAAAAAGCCAGAGAAAGAGAAAGAACAATCACTTACCAGTCTCTTTTTATTTGGGGAGCCTTAGAATTTGCAGACGCTGCTAGTCTGCCTTTAATTAGTTGCACATCACCCCCTAACACAAAGAAACACAAATCCAGATGTGTCTTGGCAGCTCCCAATTACAACTTTAATACTTGTAAACAAACTGTTGGGGGGGGGGATAAATAAATATGCGGATCAAAAAAAAATACCTGTAAATGGCTTTTTTTTTTCTTGTTGCAGAGAGAAGGAGGAGGAGATGGTGTTAGTGGTGGGGGTGGAAGGAGGAGGAGGTGGGGGGAGAGGAAAGAGCCGAGTGTGAGTGTATGTGTGAGAGCGCGGGGCTGTTCTCGGTGGTCTCTCCTCTCCCAGCGCGTTGCTCTCCGTCCGTCTCCAGTCGCTGTGTGCGAGGGAGGGAGGGAGCCCGGGAGTCTCTCTCTCTCTCTCTCTCTCTCTCTCCTCTCTCTCCTCTCTCTCTCTCTCTCCCTCTCTCTCGCCCTCCCCCCTTCCCTCTCTGTTTGTGTGTGTGTGCGTGTGTGTGGTTGCTGGGGGAGGGGAGCGAGAGAGAAAGGCGAGGGAGGAGGTGGGGAGGCTGGGGGCGGGGGCGGGGGGGTGATTGGCGCCGAGGTGAGGAGGACGCAGGGACGTGGACACCTACTGATGATTGGCTGCAAATTACACGGGGAACAAGAGGCGCACGCGGGCCGGCGCTCCCCTTCACAAATCCTCTGCTCGGCGGAGGAGCCACGTTTCCCTGCCCGCCTGCCGTTCGCTCGCCCTCCCTCCCGGCGCCCGGCTCTCCAGCTCCGCCGCCCAGCACCGAGGGCCATTGATTATTTTCTTTTGCTCTCAGAGATAATTGTTTGGAAGGGATGGAAAGAGGGCGTTTCCGCCGCTCTCCCTCTGCGTGTGCGTTGTGTGTGTGTGTGTGTGTGCGTGTGTGCGTGTGCGGGTGTGTGTGTAAATAAACTTGTCTGGGTTTTCTGGCTGGGTTGAGGAGAGGAGTACGAGAAACAGAAAAGGTCGCGTTTGTTTGAAGAATGCTCTTAGTTCGCACCCTACCGCATGGCTTTTAAATAATTCTCCTGCTGTACCTCGAAAGACTTTTTGAAAAATCCTATCACTTAGGTCTTTAAAGTAAGGGGAAACGGATCAGGTTTCTTGTGGTCCCGATCTTTTCAATATTTGTATGCCAGAATGTAAAACATTGGTGATGTGAGGCTTGACCGATCTCCAGATCAATCTCCAGCCTTCTCTCCCTCCCTTCTCTCCCCTCCTCGCCTCGCCTCTCCTCTCCCTCTCTCTCCTCCAATCCCCTTCTTTTCTGTTCCATCTGGTGGTTCCAAGTATTAACTCAGGTTTTTAACTTACTGCCCTATTTTTTTTATTTCAAACTTTACTTAAACAAAAACTACTTTTATATCTGCATTAATTGATTTTATACTACTATGACTTCTTGACACATGGGAAAAAGAATTTAGTAATGGACGGATAAATCTTTTACCACAGGTCACGTATAAATCAACCTCACTCATAAATGGAGCTATGAATTAACTTTTTCACTGCTGCCTTCAAGAAAATGAGACATTCCTGGATTCGTGCTATCCTAGTACTGAAATGAAGTATGCTCTAGTGGAAATGGTTATGAAATAATATATAAAAACATGAATTTTTTTGATAATAAAATTTCCTACGACCGGCTAACCATAAGCTACAAAAGTAGAAAAGAAAAAATTAGACTGTTTAATTTGGTGCTATAAAGTTTTGTATTAAAATTCAAACAATATTCTGGAATAAGGCAGTAGTGTATCTTCAGAAAAGGAAGAAAAGTGTCATGATGAGTTGTTTCTTTTATAATAACAAAATGCTGAAAAGACATTTTAAACCATTTTACATTTAAAATTTTAAAGATTGACCTTAACCATATCAACATTCTGCCAACTATAGAGGATCGATTATTGATAAGATGTTAAGAACTGTGATGTGTATAAATGAAAGTGATGTCCCAAGAGTGGGCAACTAGTGAAATAAGAGGAAGACTGTTTCATGACTCATTGATTAATATACATGTTTTGCTGCTTTTTAAACATAGAATAAGTTTGGTCATCAAATTAATCAAACTAGTTATTTGGTATTTACAGAAAAAATAACTGGATGGTTAATAATGACTTAAATTCATTGACAAGATGTTTTTATACTTTTAATTCTTCATAAAAGCAAGGAAGGGCATTTTCCTTTTTTTTTTTTTTTCTTTTTTGAGCTGAGCATGGTAGGAAATTGATC